CGTAGGCTGCGTAGGTGCCACCTGTGAGGCTGAGGCGGCCGCCTTCATCTCTGCGACGAGGTCCAGGAGCTCCAGGATCGTGGCTTGGTCGATCAAGAGCTCGTCTGCGGTGCGTCTGCGAGTCTCGCCGTTGAGTTCCACGCCTGCGCGCAGGGGCTCCAAGAACGTCTGCACCTTGGTCTTGTCGGCGAACAGGTGGTGCAGGACTCCTGGAACGTCTACTCCTCTGGCTTTGAAGAGCATGCGGACGACAGGGTTCACCGCTGCTTTGTCGCACAACTGGTCAAACGACGGCGCCGCGGCCATGGCGCGTTGGGCCTCACGAAGAGGCCGACGAGGAGTCTGAGGCCTCCTTAGGGAGCTTCTGAGGTTCGAGCACTTCAGCGACCGTGGCCTCGTCTGGGAAACACAGCGGGCAGTACTGAAAACCTGGCAGCAAAGTAGGGTTACGTTGGCAACTAGCTTTCCCGTATCTCCAGCGACCGCAAGCTGAATTCCACTCTCCCGAAGGTGTGGAACACTCGGTGGCACATGGTTTGTGCGCCAGCTTTGACCGAACGTTATGTACAAGTACTCCTTGACCTCTAAAACAGTCTGCAACCACGGCTCGAACTTGGTCGAGAGCTGCTGGCAACAACTCGATCGCCTTAGTCTGGCTAGGCTGCGACCGCACCTGACTTGACTGTGCGATGGAAGTCCTCTGCGCGACTGCCGCTGCCGCCCGCTCTGGATTGGACAACGCGGCTTCTTGGACGTATCTGCAAATAGCGGCACTCCCCCAGCGCCCGATAAGCATGATAACATGCAAGTCGAGGCCAGCTCTTGCGAACATCTGGGCCCCAGCAACTCTAAAGGCGTGTTGGGACCAGCGCTGTATGACTTGGCGCGGCCACTCTTGCATGTCCCCGCCACACAGTACCCACGCGAACACGCGAGCCAGCCAAGCGACCTGCGTCTTGCTGGGCGGTCCGTGGCCATCACCGAAAAATGGCGCCTGAACCTGCCACCGGCCTGCTTGCCGTAAGCGCACTGAGCATCGCAATGCTGCATGGTACGGGCAGAGTGGGTGTCGCCCCAGCGAACATGCACACTTCTGGAGTGGGGTGAACAGTAGTGCCTCGTCACCTGATCGCGAACAGCCGGGGTCGTGTTGTCGCGAACATATGCAACAATGCGTTCGCGAACACCCACGTGCACTTGGGTCGTTCTTTGAAACTGGGAGCTCAAGCCTGACGCGACCCTCTCGCGAAAATGAGATGTCCGAACACACCACGGACGAGATCTCCAAACCCCGCAGAAGAAACCATGCGGCCACGATGCCTGTGTCTGCCGGATCCGCGACCTGAGCGGACGAAGGAACTTGCAAAGACTCGTTCGCGGACTGAACGTCCCGAGAAAAGTCGCGCGAACAAAGTTCCATGGGAAAATCCAACTTCGCAGACGATGGACCCATTCCTCGCGTAATAGAGCGAACAGCCTGACTGATAGCATGATCCAACGCGGGCGACCATTCATGGCCCTGCGAACGGTGCTCGGATTTCGCCACACTGTAGTATTGTGCAGCGGACCGGTACCGGCCTTGCTTGAACAAGGCTCCGACCTTATCGACCAGCTCGGTCGTGACCGGCAATGGCGGAAGTCCTCTCTGTTCTGCGAACGCGCACCACAAGCGCCACCTGGACTCGCGAGGACCTCGAGAGGAATTCGCATATTTGTCTTCCTGAAAGGCCGCATCGGCCTGATCCAGCGAACTGGCACTCTGCACTGCTTGTAAAGCGACCTGTTGAGACCCTCGTTGATATGGGTGAACCACAGGGGCGTCTGCCCGCGACCGAGGCCGCGCGACGGACCTGTTGAACAGCTTGTCAGCTGCTGGGTCGCCGATCCACTGTCGCAGCGAACCCTTAGGCCTTAGGTGTGTTCTCAAGTTGAACTGCTGATCGAACCCCTCGTGCCCGAAGGCTCTCCAGCGCACTATGCAAATCACAGCTGCCCAGAACATGGACGAGACTAGCGAACGAGGTTCTATCGTGGGGGCACGCGATATGGTGCATCGCTCCTCGAGAAGAAACGAGCTCTCGACGCTGACATGCTACTAAAGTCTGTGGTTGAGCCTTGGCCTCGAACCTTTCAGCATTGGAAAGACCGCGACTAGGACAACCAGACAAAGCAACCGTACTGCTAGAACCGGGTGCCTACCTACCAAGCCAGCCTCTGCGCACTCACTGCCTTGAACCTGGTGCCTCAGCGACCACACGACTAGCATCACGCAAGCACTGCCTGAGCCTGGAACCTCTGCACACAGCCAAGCAATGCGAACTCACTGTCCTACCTTACGCCTTGCGACCTCCGAAAGTGCAAGCACCGACTCTCCTAACGGCCCGCCTTGACCTTCTCGAAAAACGTATGCACAACATGTACTGCAAACACTGCAAAGCACTGCCTGGTACCTCATGGCCTATACTGCGGACTCTCTTGCGGAACGAACGAGTCAACGCACGACACGCGAACGCAACTGCGAAGTCCCCTTGCTTGCCCTCTCTCTTTTGCTGCGAACAGCTCCGATCCTGCCCCGTAGGGTCCATTGCCCGAAGGCGCGAAGAGTCGCTTGACTCGCTGCAAAACGGCCCGCGAACAACACACTGTCCTATGTACTGCTGTGTCGTGGTTCGAACCTAGCTACCTAAAACTGCGAACTGGGGCACCGGCAGCTGCGACCTGGACCTAAGTACGCGTCGAACTGAGACGCTTTGCGTTCTCGTGGCAAGGAACGCACAAATGGTGTTCGTGCGGTTTCCTATACCCCGAACTGTTGCGCCTTGGGCACTTGCGGATCCAGCAACTCGGACAGCGAACAGCGCACACCGAGACCGTATCTGTGTACGGTGGTGGCTCGTCGCGGAAGACTGTGCCGTCGTCCACATCGGCTTGCGGCCAAGGCGCCGGGAGACCCAAGGGTGCGAACTGACCGCACAAAACAGGTCCGGGCGGCCCACCTTGAAGAGCGGCCTCCAGGTTCGGGTAGTCCACGGCCGGACGTGGTCCACGACGACGCTGCTGCCTCGGCTGCGAACTGCTCGGGAAAGTGCTCTTAGTGGTAGAAGAGGCCTGCGAACTCCCTTCCGGTTGTGGATCTCCCGCTGCTGGTCCTGCGGCGTCTGTGGGGTCCTGAGCGACCGGTGGGGCCCCAGCGTCTGCATCGCCCTCGTCATCGACCGCCGCCGGGTCCGGAGCAGGAGTCTCTCGAGCGACCCATGCTCGTGTCAGCGGCATAGCTTTCGTCGGCGGTGTTGGTGGCGGTGGCAACGGGGGCTCTGCGAACTCCTCGCCGTCCATCTCCTCCAGGTTCACCGTGGTCGGCACTGGCACAAAGGAGGCGACCGCGGCGTTGTGAGCCGCCCGCAGCAAACCGATGGCATCCTCGGCGGTCTGCGGTACCAAGTCCCCAGCGAACAGCGCCTCCATCTGCTTCGGCGTGGCCTTGAGAGGGACAACCGGCTTGGCGACCACGGTGTCCTTAGGCGCGACCTTGGGGGGCGGCGGTGCGACCGGACCTCCAGTTGCCGCCTTTGCTGCTGCTGCTGCCACGGCCTTCTTGCTGACTGGTGCCCCGGGCAAGGGAGGCGGGTCAGCCTTGGCCAAGCGCGCTGCCTCGGGCGAACGTTGTGCCGCCTTCGGAAAGGAAGGCCCAGGTGACCCACTCTGCTTGGGCTGCGCGGACGCAGCGATCTGTCCCCCGGAGGTAGCGAACTCGCCGGAGTCGAAGTAGCTGCCGAAGCTCCACCAGGTGGTGCCGAACTCGCCGAAGTCGAGGTAGTGGCCGGAGCTCCCCCCGAACTCGCTGCAGCCTGTGTGCCACCTTCGCGACCCGCGTTAAACTGGCGGGTGATGCTCAGGTGGACCTTTTTCTCGAACTCCTGCAACTGCTTGAGGTCAAACCTCTCGAACAATGGCTCCAACTCTGCGAACTCTGCGTTCACCACGGTATGCAGACTCGCCCACAAGTCGGGCACCGGTGCATCGGCCCCCCACGAACCAGCCATAGCAGCAAGCGAACTGTTCGAAAACAGAAACGAAAAGCGCTAACTCGAACTGCTGCACTCGGGCCTTCGCTGCACTGCGAACAAGTGCACTCGCAAAGACCCTCGCTTCGTAGTTCTCGTTACGCTACCTTGTCACTTCGAACACACGTGTTCTGCACCACAATCCGGCGAGGAAGCTGCGGATCGCTTCCGCTTCAAGCTGAGAAGCTCTTGGGGGTGGTCGCGCAAAAGCCTTCGTGCAATCACACCCAAGTCGGACTTCGAGTCAATGTTGGCCCCGTGCTTTATGAGCAATCTCACAGTGTCAGAATGTTTGCTTCGAACTGCATAGAAAGATGCCATCTCGTTCCATCGATCCGTGAATTTAACAGTTGACTGCAAATCCATGGTTCAGGAGGAATCTCACCATTGTGATGTTGCCTCGTGCTGCTGCATAGTAAAAGGGAGTCTGCTTGTTGCTGTCGACATAGGTGAGATCAACACCCATGCGAATGAATTGTCTCGCCAGTGGCTCTGAGCCACGACGAGTTCGAGCAGCGATGAAAAACAAGAAAGTCTGGGAGTCTGGTTCAAGAAGCTGTATCGCAACGACATACTTGAATTCACGAGCGCTGTCTTTGCCTCGTCAAACTCCCCATCTCGGACTCTAGAAAAAACGCATCCCGTTCGCCGGGCTCATGTCTGACACAACTTCCTGTTAGCCAAATGTCTTCACGGAGCGTTTCCATCAAAAGCAAGTGCACGCATGCGCTGTCCTCAGGTGCCTCTCTCCGCAGCACTGAACCCTCAAACACCAGGAGGGTACTAAGTACTAAGTATGTGACAGTCAGCGGTGATTTCTACTGGGAATCTTCCGAGTGCAGAGCTTCAGAGTGTTCAGGCTTAGTTCGGGTTTGGGGCTCAGGGTTGGGAGCTCAGGCTCCCTCTTCGACAACCACTCAAGCGCGCAGGGTGCACCCAACCGACCAAACATCGATGGACTTGGTGTATTCTGATGCCAGCAGGACAACCTCAAAGCTCTGGGCAGTCCGGGACTCTATGAAGGCGGAGATAAGAAAATCGTTCCACACGCCGGACATCTGGCAATGGCACAGAGGCTGTAAACCTGGTGGATTCGCGATTTGGCGGTTGCTCTTCAAGACAACCTCAAGTGTAGGGTATCGATGTTGACAGGAGTTCGCCGATGTTAACAGGAGTCCGCTACGGCGCAGGTGCCTGGCAAGAGGCTGCCTTCTTGCTCGTAGTGCGAGTTAGCCAAGGGCATGAGTCTGAATATGAGGCTCTTTATGATGATGGTGATGATGCTGATGGTTCTGCTGACGTTGTGATGACGCCGCAAATGCTGCTTCTTAATTCGATCGGTTAATGCTCGAGTCCACAGAACAGCTGTTTTGCTTGTCTCATGATGATTGCTCGTGCCACTATTCTTCATAGTCGTTGCAAATGCTACAAAGACTCCTACGATCTTGGCTCATTCCCTCTCATTGAGCATCCATAGTCTTGGTGTGGCTGCTGCTGTGGCTGTGACCGTGTTCTTACCCGATAGCTACGGATCTAGCTGCTGGCCGCTTGCCACCACAGTTCCTACGCGGCAGCACCGGCTGCTAACACCAGAAGCATCCTCAAGTCCCACGACGACCGAAACATGGATGCGAGTCCTTGGAGCAAGGTCTTAGGGGAAAAAAGAGTTCATAGGTGCGCATGTTACAAGTGATGCAATGATCTCCTGGTGACAAGGGAATAAGCAGCTGATGCGACAAACGCCACGTCGGTCCCCAAAACTCTCAGTCGCAAGCCTCAGGAGCTCTGTACCACCTGGTGACCACGTAGTCAGTCAGGGTTGGATCATCCTGGCCAAACTTCAGGGCTTATGGTTGAAAAGTATCCGGGTTCAGGGCGTAGGACGGGATCATGATTCCTCCGAAAGTCGCCACGTTGCTACTCCGGTATTGCAATCCGAATTATGGTTGTGGGCCCTCGCCCACACAAGGCGATAAGTTAATCTTCCGCACACCCCAGACATCAAACGATGGAGCCCCAAACCTCGAGGCTGAAGGAACAGTCTCGTGTTGCGCCGAGTCAAGGGTTTGGGAGTCTCAGGGTTCGGGTCTCTGGTTTCTGGAATGATACGGGAGTGCGATACTTCGACATGCCGAAGGCAAGGAAGGATCTTGCGAGCTGGTACCGACTGCTGCATATCCTCGATTATACCAGTTCACGAAAGCCCTGGTCAGGGGCCCATTTCAGGCCACCCAAACCCAGACTTCCTGTGGGCCTCGTCATTGCCCAACCCACGAGCGAGACCAAAATCGCAGATTTTCAGGTCGCAGTTCTTGTTCACCTGGCTCACAGACACCCAAGCATCGCTCAATCCCATAGCCGGGCTAACGAACCGGGTCGAGGCAACCGCAGATCAGCCGTGCAAGCACGCGAGCAGTGCCAGGATATTTGCAGGCTTCAGATCGCGATGCACCACGTTCGCACCTTCGGAGAGTGGAAGAAAATTAAGGATGAGGATGCAGATCACGGTGCAGGTGATTGTGAGGGTTGCTGTCGGCACCTATGTTGAAGGTTATTAAGGTGGAGCCACAATCAGTTGGGGGAACACAAGGAGCAGAGGCAGTGCTATTAGCGTCGTCTTTGCCCGCGTCTTAGAAGACTGTAGGTTCTGGGGTTCTCCTGTACTTCTACTCCGAGTGCAACTCTTGGACGCATCCACCTCATCACCCCGCGAAATTCAATGCAACCCTATGACACCCAGGTACACCCAGACATGCTGGACTCTGTCCATCCTACTTGGGCATCAAGTCTTGACAAAGAACATACCCACGCTGAATCTTGCCACCTTGTACACTGCACAGCCAGCTCCCACAACATGTGCTGAGCTCGCGCACTGTGGAGGTACAGCAATCCACGGAGGATTTGGTAGGAGAAGTACCTGGAATCATGCATCAAGCCTGTCATGGAAGGTTGACAAGAAACAGTAGCAGAATCGAAAAAAACACCCAGCAATCCCAATAACTATCACCATACTGCACCGATGGGGTAGGCCTTGTATGGGTTCATAGTCGAACATCGCGTTAACTCCTAGCCCTGGACAGTTGAACGGTGGAGAGCACTGGTGGTGCTCGTCGTTCAAAACCTGCAGCAGGAGAGACGGGGAACTACTGTTCATCACGCGAATTGGAGGTTCTGGTTTGAAGACTCCCTCTAGACACATCTCTGAGGCGACGGAGGGTGCTTCTGGGAATCAGCTTATAGGCAATCAAAGTGCTGGAGCTCGCCGAATGGCTCGAAGTACTGTACACGGGGCATCAATGTGAAGCCGGCGGAATGAAGGGACAGCAGATCTGTGACCAGTGCATTGTCAATTCTGTCTTTGTTTATGGACTAACGGTAAGAGCTAGAGCAGGACTGAGACTTGTCTCACAAGGACTCCGGCGCGACGTTCCTACCGCTTAACTGACACCACGTGCCTGCTTCGAGTAGATGACGCGATGCAGATCTGTCTCCATCAGGTCGGTAACCTCAGGGTTTAGGAAGTTTAGGGCTTAGTTGCCATTTAGGGATACATAGGAGATCATAGGGGCAATTCCTCAGATCCAACATTCATGGTTTTGTGCCTTGAGGGTTTCTGGGAGCTTCGGGCTTTCCTTCCGGGAAATCCAAGCAAGGCGTTTTACACTTCTGTGACATCGGTTTCCGGGGACGTCCCTCGTCACAATCTCAGTCGGGGGGACTCAGGTCGAAGGTGCTTAGGCCGACATCTAAGCAGCCGAGGAGCGATGTAGATGTCATCGAAGTCAGGATGGTCTGCGAAGGCAAAGTCGGGGTTGGCTTGAGGTGCAGAAGCTCGGCTTGCTTAGTAGACTTGCAGGGTCATCCCACATTGGAACCGAGTTATTGGCCGCCAGCCATAAACCCTACCTGCCAGACGTCTGCACTAGATCCGTGCTCCTCCTACACCCTGAAGTCCACTGGTCCTGGCGGGTACATGTCCAGGATGCTGATGATCTGCGCAGGCGCAGGCTTCGCGGCATCGGGGGAATGTTACATTACGTCGGGCTTTGCAGTAATAATGTTAAGCACTCCAATTATCGAGGCATCATGTGACAGCCATGGAGAAGAAAAGAGAATGGGAGAGGGAAAGAGCGGGAAAGAGAGCGAGAGAGGCAGAAACACAGAGAGGCATAAACAATGATAGGCAAAGGCAGGGGGAGAATTCCTCAAGCGTCGAATATTCCAGCAAGCGTCAACCATCCGAAGCGTTCAGCCTAAACCTGGCACGAAATCGCTGAGTGTCTGGCATTGTCATGCCTGAAGCTTCTCAAAAGCTTGACCTGGCCGGGAAGACACCGAGATGTCGATGTTTCAGCCATTTCAAGCTGCGGGCTTGGTTTATGCCTCAAGCCTTTGTTTAGCATAGTTGCGGAGTGGGAGGCGAAACTGCAGTTCAGTTTAGCGGTTAGCGCTCTGCTGGATGGGATGATTGTTGTTGCTGCTGTCTTGGGTGCTGTCTGGTCCGCGCTTCCTGCGGACCACTACTGCTATACTCTTCTTACCACTACTACCACCCCACACCGCCACCCCCACCCACACGACCACCACCACCACTACCAGCGCCTGCGGTTCCTCTGATTATTGTTGCTTGCGCAGTCTTCTGCTCTCGATATAACGATGAAGACGTGACTTACAATGTCAGGAACAGGAGCGACTATGATCGTTGCACAGCCCTGAGCACAATAGCCATCTTCACCATCAGCACCGTCGCAGAAATTTATATTGGTATCGCTATCAGCTGACATCCTGCTTAACGAAACAAGGACGATGTCTCGGTAGTCGCTGTCAGTTCTATGTCGCTCTTTTCCTGAACGATGCCTCTCGCAGAATGCGCTTCCCATCCACTAGGTCGTGGAACGCATCCGTGATCTTCTTCACCTGGCAGCGTTCGACACTGCTGAACTATAACATCGATTCCAGTCAGGCACGATAATGGTCAAGAAGGTGCTGGTGGCAGCAACGGTGCGAAATTGCATTCGTGGCAAACCCTGTTCTGCAAGCACCGTTACCATCGCCACTACTTGTTTTGACTTTTGCCACCATCACTACGAGCTAAGTCTTTCCTTCTCCTTTCTTGCCGGTGTTTGCACTGCCCTGAACGACTAAGTCACGAGTGCCGCAGCAAGTTCTGCACTGCTCTTCCAACTTCAGGGCTCCGGGCCGCCAGCTTGGTGCCACTCTTGGGATCCTGACACCCACTAAAGACCTAAAAGGTTAAGGGAGCGGCGTCCTGAAGATGTTGTTTTACCCAAGGGTTCCTTCCAGCATCGCTCTAGAATGACTCTAGAAACTACTACCAGCTGTGGTTCCTGCACGGAAACTTGCACCACCATTCAATCGTCATAGGTGTCTCGTTCCTGTCCTCATCTCTGTGCTTAGGGGCCAAGTATCGGGCAAACGAAACATTCGGGCGTCGTACATAAATATGCGGTGCACATGAGGAACTACGGCTTCAGCTACCGAGGGAAGATGGGACAAATCTAACTACGGCTCCGCAAGCCACAAACAACAACAAAGTCCTCACCTCGCAGAAGCCCATAACCCCTTGACATAAACCCGCACCACTTGCTTGACCGACCCTACAATCTACACCCAAAGCAGCATGCTAAAAGGCAGAGCCGGAGTCCTGGAACGAGGCGACGGTGCCGTAAGCCCCCGAGCCCACCTCCCACAGGAGGCAAGCAAGCTGGGATGTAAGCCGCACGGCTCACAGCTTTTAGGCACAGGGCTGGGTGTCCACGATTTGGTTGGGTTCACGGGCCGGTTGACGGGTCTATTCGGGATTACTGCTTCACAAGGCCAGGGGTCACGTGCCTTGCCAAATCCGAGCACGACAGAACAAATTGGAGTGGTTTGTGACTCATTATACTTCGAAAGGTGTAAGATCTAGGGTTGTTTTGGCTTGGGGTTACGGGTACTCGGTGTTAGGTTAGGCCTCGGGTGTGGGGTCCAGGGTTTACGTCAAGGGCCCGTAGTGTTCGAGACCGGGCTTAAGGGTTTTCGGGATTCAGGGCGCGGGGCTTCCATGGCTTGAAGCTTCCATGCCTAAGTGGACGTGGGATTCAGGGTCGCCCCACGTTTACCGCCTTGGGCTGTCAGGGGTTAAAAGAACTTGAGATTCAGAGTTAGTGAATGACTTTCACGGCTTTGGGCTGTCAGGGTTTAAAAGGACGTAGGATTCAAGGTTAGTGAACCCTGATGTCTCATTCATTCAGGTAGTCATTCCGGCAAAAGCAGAGGCAGTAGCAGAGAGTAGTAGCTAGTTGTGGTAGGAACAGTAGCATGCAGAAGTACCCATCCAGTCCCGAGAAATGTTGCTAATAGCCGACGACAGTCCGTGCAAAACCCCTGTATCTACGTAACAACGGCTCGCAGTATCTTGGCCACTCAGTCGACGAACACGCGCAGTGAAACATGAACTGTAGATACTCAGAACTTAAGATTTTGGAGTGGGTTCTGGACCTCCGGCACGATACAGGAACCTGACCACTGAGTCACTGCTTCAGGCTCCAGCATGAGCCTGTGAGGCATCGGAGGAACCCTGAAACAAGTTCCAAAATAATGATACAAATAGCAGCACGGTCCCTGAACCCAAGCTGACCAAACTTCACGTGCAAGACATGTCGGGCTTTGCTGGAAGGTGAAGACATCAAGGCCCCATGCGGCCTTCTTGATGAGTTCAAGATGTGCCGGCACCTTAAACTTCACCTGCACAGCTGGTTGGGACATCGCCATCCTACCCATAGGCCATACGCTTCGAACCCGAAGCCTAGCTTAGCCCAAAACCTCAAACAACGGCAGCATTGTCCTGGCCAGCTCGTCGGCACGTCTAGGTTGGCCCGCTTCCGGCTGATGTTTGCAACGCGGCCGGGTTTCCAAGCGTGTGTGCAGGAGCAAGGGCTTGGAGACATTATGGATCAATAGCTTCGGGCCAGCTTGACTAACTACTTCTGGTAGCTGGTTGCTGCAACACGACTACGACAACTGAGATCACCGGTCGTTTCCAGAAGCTTTGCCACTTGACACCGACAAGGCAATGAACATCGCGTGCACGCAACAACCGAGAGGTGACTAATGACGAACAACATAGAGGATAGGAGTCTCGGACGTAATACCGATGCGGCTAATGGCGATGATGTTGAAGATGATGACAAAGAGAATGTGATGATGCTGCGCACGGAGGCGGCAGCGATGAGTGCTGATTTTGATGAGATCCACTATACGATGCTGATGCTGAACACATCAGTGATGACCAACAGTTGTACTAGTGTTGCCGCTTCGCCTCCTCTTGCTCTTGCTAACATAATCACCATTACGGTTGAACATGAATGCGGCCTTGCCATCGATGACGACCTCTTTCCAGGCCGTGGCCGGCATCGCCGAACGCCCTGTCCTGCAAGACGAAGGGCATAAGGTATCTGCTCAAGGTTTCGGTTTCACCGCTTCCTGCCGTCTGCACATGACACTGGGGAATGTGGATGCCGATGAAAACTGCGTGCGGAGACACTACTTGCTGGCCTGTACTGCAGCTGCTTGCGACTCATCATCATCAACTAGCTATGCTGGAACCTAACACCTGAGGCAGTCAACGTACATACTCATACTTGTAGGATTTGTATCCATCGGTTCACGAACTGTGAACTGTTTTGGTTTAGGCGGCACGCAGGAAAGACTGGCCTAAGGGCTGCGGTCATTACTGGACAGCTTGCTACCAGTACGCATCCCCGGAAAAAGTTCCCCAGCTCCGCAGACTTGCAACACAGCTCCCCTCGTCATGACTGACTGAGGCTATTTGGAGTGTCTTAAGTCCCCAACTGTCTATGTAAACCCTGTAATGTAGGGGCCTGCATAAGGTTTGGGGATATGTGATAATCTGTTTATTATCGGGAACTTTATGGAATAATACTGCTAATTGTTCCGACCCCTGTAGTAGTACTATCGTCTTATAGTGCACATAGAAAAGTAAATAAAACCCGATTCTGCCCATACAAGGCCCCCTCAAACCCTCAACCCCAAACCCTAAAACCCCTTCAACCCCAAACCCTAAACCCCCTCAACCCTAAACCCTAAACACCCCTGAATCCTAACCCCCCAACCCCAAGCCCTGTGGCCCTCCCCGGCCTTGTTGCGCTTCCGTGGTCCGGCCGCGGCTCGTTACCTGAAGGCGGGCGGAACAGTAGGTTCAGAGTTTAGGGTTTTAAGGGCTTAAGGTTTTAGGGTTTAGGGGGTTCAGAGCTTCTCAGGAGGTATGGAGGTAAGTGTTCTATCATCTAAGGGTTGCATAGAGTGGTTTCTAGGGTCTCTTATACATTGTTTCAAGCTTTGCAGGGTCTCAAACGTGTCTACTGTGAGTTTCTGATACATAGGCAGTCAAATGCAGGCTCCAAAATAAGCTGGTCCTCGTTCTTAAGATCCCCAGGTTAGGAAACCCTCTTGGCTTTCAGAAATCCTCACAAAAGACTACAATCGGAAGCCAAACTTCGGGTGCAGAGCTTCAGCCTCTGGGGCTTGGGGGCTGCGGGATTTCGAGGTATGGGTTTAGAGCCGTTTGGGGCGATACCTCTGTCTGGCACCATTACGATGTCTTGTACAACGGTTCGTTTTCTTGCAATTCTAGTGATGGTTTGCAATTTGTTGCTCGGTGGAGCGACGGGCTCAAAGGCCTCAACTCGACTCGATGTTTGCCCAGATGTGAGGCTCTGAAACCTCGTGATCTTCTTTGGGGTACCGCGCAGAAGCTCACATACGCTTCCGCCTGTGTAAGGGGCTGATCGTGTTTCCAAGGAGACATTCCTCCTTCAACCGTAGCTTAGATTGTAGGGAGAAAGGCTTAACGCACTTTAGGATGGTGGCTGAAGTTCTCCCGGCTCGGCTAATGCAGCGTTTGTAGGTGTTATGCATCATTCAAAAATTGGAGGTTTTGGGCTTGGGGTTCAGCGTGGTTCGGGAGGGTATGTCTCCAGGCTCCTAGGGTTTGGTGCTCCTAGTTTGTGCGGACTCTCTTCATGTCAAAACTCGGGTGCGCCTCCGGTACAAGTGGACCGCTCCACCAGGAAAATTCCTGCTATTGCTCGATTTGAGCCACGGCCGGCAATGCAGGAGTCGACGTTCCCGCACCTCAGAATCTTTCGAAAGCTCAGCTTCTGCCGGCCTTTGGAAGCCCCGTTGCAAGAACAGCCCCGTAAGAGAATCCCCACTTTGCGAAGTGGCACCGACTGCCTCATGAGGCCTTCAGGAGATCCCGGGTTCCCTCAAACCCAAGTCCGAAGAGGTCCCAAGAAGCTGAGCACTGATCCCTGAACCATATAAACCCTAAACCTTGAATCCTACACCCTAAACCCTGCACCTCTCCGAACTCATGGGTCATGCTTGCCTCGACTTCAACACCTCCATGCATGCCTCCATGAATGTAGGCCCACGAGAGCCACGAGGGTTTCTACATTCGAGCTCCAGGACATGACAAGACCCTGAAGGCACAGCAACCGCCACTGTAAACGTCAGACTGAGCAACTTTGGCGTCTGACGTACCCATGGCCCTCAGCTTTTGGGACTCGAGCATCATGAACTAAACACCCAAAAACCCTGGACCGCATCCTGGCGGTTAAAAGGCTCAGAAGCCCCTTAAAGTTCGAGATAGGGGGGGGAGGGGGTCACATCAACGCATATCTCTCTTTTTGGCCCCTCAGAACTCTTCCAGGCGCTCTTCGGCGTCGGTGAGGAGCCCCGAGGCTTCCTCCTCCGGCTCCGTGGAAGGCCTCGGAAGGAGTTTGCTTTCGGGATGTTTCGGGGCTTTAACAGAAGGAGTCTTGGGAGGAGGTCTTACAGGGCTTTGTATCCGGCTTCTATGAAATTACATTATCTGCCTCTGGAACATTCAGGCTGGGGCTTCAGAGTCTAGGATTCTCTAGGGCTACGCATTCAGCGTTTAGAGTGCAGGGCGGGGTTCAGTCCCAGACACAAAACGCCATGCGCTTCGATCACCCTCGTGCCTTGTCCCGAACCGTCTCGAGCATGCAAAGACTATGAAAAGCAAGTCGCCACCTGTCGACACGATAATTACGCTCGAAATCCCTCAAGAAACCCACCCAACACTCCTTATAGCATCTGCAAAGCCCAGTGGCGCCGTTTCCAGAAGCTCGACCGTGGCCAATGCACGGAGGCGTTGCGCTGCCTCCTCCGAGTCTGCCGGTGGGTTTCTTGCAGTTTAGGATGTGAGGCCTTAAAGTTTCGTATGGCTTGGAGATGTCTGAGCAAGACTATGCTTGAAACGACATGTCGTTTCGTAAAGTGTAGTGCCTTGAACCAAGGAACCAAAGCCGGGTTGCTTAGGTCTCAATTTCAGGGGGCCTTGGTGCTGTGCTCGTTGTTCTTCCCAACTTCTCAGGATTTCCCGCAAGGAGCACCAAGAGAGAACGCCCTGCGCTCCTTGAGCCAAGCCTCTGAGTCACCAAGCAGGCGGCCGTTGACCTGCAAAACAAACCAAAAACCCAATGTTAGAAGAAGTGCAATCTGGATTTCGCGGAATCAACCCAACGGCACCCGCACGGGCACGGCATCATTCTTCTTGCCCGCAGGGAAGAAGGCCAGGAAGGGGTACCCCTTCATTTGCTTCAAGACGGGGTGATCCACCTGAGACACAGAGAAAGTCGCGAAGTTGGGGCTTCAGGTTTCCGATGCTGATCACAAGACAAGCACATAGCAAGAGTATACACTGCGTCCGGGCAGCATCATTTTGTGTGTCGTCGATCTTGAGAATCGACAGCTGTCTAGCATAGCGGAAGTGCCGTGCCAATTCGTCCACTCGCGGCGACATGCGCTTGGAAAAGCCTTGGCATCAGGCAGCTTGACCTGAAACAATGATCTAACGATTGAGGTCTTGTGGAACTCCGCACTATCTGACTACTACATGCAACAGACCACACCTCGATCCATCTCTCTATCTATCCATCTGTTCATCGCGATAGTTTTAGGATTCATGACCTTTAGTTAGAAGCACACATACATACCTACGTACCTACGTAAATACGTGCATACCTCCGTCCGTCCATCCATGCATCCATCCATCCATCCATCCATCCATCCATTCCGGCGTGTGCTCGCGCGTGTGTGCATGCATCTTCAAGAGCAACAGAGACCGAGAGAGACAGACTGACAAAGAGAAAGAGACCGGGAGCGAAACACACGCAGAAACACAAGTTGTGATGTGATATGATTTGAGAACGACGACTAATGATGACGAGAACGACGATGACATGGATGCCGATGCCGACGCCGACAACGACGACGACGGCCACCAACACCACAACCACGCATCACCACCGCAGAGGCTTCTACTACCACCACCACCACCAACACCACCACCACCACCACGAACACCATCACAAAAATCCTTTCAGGGTCACCGTCTACATTGGCATTTTAAGGAGGCTTAGTGCAGCTGGGCGGCCGCACCAAGGTGCAAAGAACATGACCAGGACGTCCTTGCCGTCGTCCAGCGCTAGCCTGTAGAAGGAATCTACAGTGCAGAACTGCTGCAGCTGAAGCCACTCTCGAGCTATCTATCTATACATACATATGTGTATGTATGTGTGTATATATATATGATGTGATATGATATATGTACTATGTCTCTATATATATATATATATACACCCCACACCCTATCTCTCTCTATATTTGATTATATTAAATATATACACACCTTTTAGGTAACTGTACTTTATATGTACTCTGTTTATGTGCGTCTGTGTGTGTATATACATATATGTTTATCTATTGATTTATGTGCGTGTAAACATGTGGCCATATGTATATGTATAGTGCATACACATAGACTGTCAGATAGACATAAAATAACATTCGTGCCAAGAAGCTCGTCAAACTGAGATGCCACGATTTCCAGAGCGCCGGCCTATGTTTCGATCGGAAATCTTCGACAATGGAAGTTTAGACTGAAGTGGCTTTCTAAGGCAACAGCTGTTTCGGAAATCTGGACATTAAGGGTTGCAGGCTTCGCAAGGTCTGAGCATGGCTTTCGTTTACGGTGAAACGGCTTGAGGCACTGGCCTGGGCATTGTGCTGCCGTGGGTCCTCCATGAGAGAACACTTCTCAGGGGTGCACTCGTTGGGACTCTTGAGGCTCTGCACTACTGCGACCGGCGGAACGGTTTTCCAAACGCTGGCGGAGCGTTGGCTCTTTTTTGGCTCCAAATACTGTAAATTGCAGCATTTGCTACTGATTTGCATAAGCTATTGGGGAATTGGAATTAGCGGTGTGTGGGGGGGCCAGAGGGCCAGGCCAGGGGCCTAGGCCAACCCTACCAAGGGCCCCAGACAAGAGCCGACGTCAGGAACAAAACCAGGGCCCGAATGCGAACCTCCCGCCATAAACCCCCAACCCAACACCCGGCCTTCAACTTATGAACTCATCACTGCCCCAAATACGCCGCTTTAAGAACCCTAAAATAGAATTAGAGGGTTGTTCTTACATTGCCTACACAGACGAAAAGCGAATCGTTGGCTCCAGATGCTCCAATGCACTCATTTAGTACCCCGCTGGATACGTGACACTTCGAAACACCTGGACACAAGTCAGATATATCTGCCACAGATGTGCATCCTAAAGCTTCAGTTCAAAACACAAAACTGACTCCCAGTCCGAGACGACGGGAGCTGAACGCCGCCACTGGGGCACCTCGCCTCAGATCAAGCGAACTTGGATGATTGTGCTCGTATCCTAATTGCATCTAATTCAAGCGCACATAAGCGTTCTTGTAATAACTCATGGTGTTCACCTTCAGCCTCATCGTTTCCGGTAATGCTTGTGCGCATTATCATGCATGATCAGGCAGCACCTATTACTTTTCGGTCAACCATCCATACCACACCCCAAACCCCTGTTCCTTGACAAGACCTCCTAAACAGTCTTTAAATAAGGGATTCAGAACACAGGGCGACTTTGGAAGAGACACAGAAACGAGTCGTGCGGATCCTGCGGAAACGATATCCCAAAAACAGGGCCGCCCGGTTTTCGAGACTCCCTCGTCGAACCCCATGCAAAGCCCCAAAAACTGTACCTCCCCCCCTTGTGTTCAGTTTTCAGTGCGGCATCCGAGAGGCCTTGGAGGAAGTGCTGCGAAAACTCCAGGAGTGGTGTTTTGGCCAGCGGAGGGGCAGCCCCTGGTCGGACAAGTCTCCGGGCTTGAACACTACAAGGGTTTGCTTTGTTGCCATATGGGTTCTACTATAATTGGCTGAAATGTAAACGGGGTACGATGAGAGATTTCGCGACAGTATAGTATCACCAGAGTCATTGGAGCATAAGTGTAGTATGACATAGCTGTATCGTCAATGGAACTTTATTAAGGAAGATTTTCTTAAGAATAAACACCGTATAATTACATACATAACTCTACTTGAATGAGTCTAAGTCTATGAGCCAAGCCCTGTTAATGAATAAATTCCGGATTCATTCTCGGCGATTCTGGGCTGCCAGGCTTTAGGGTTTTGAGTTTCAGGATTCTGCCGCACCTTGTGAGTGGAGAAACAGCTGGTACGGGCGCTCGCCGAGCCCGTTGGTCCAGTTCACGACCATCGCCTTTGGGAGTTTCAGCTCTCGGTTCCAACCCCCACCCCAGAAACCGTGCAGGGAAGGGGCGCTCCATCCCAATTTCAATGTCACTACCCTAAGACACAGGTGGTGCTGTTTCCCAGAGATGAATGAAAGGCGGCTGAAAGGCATCCCGCGATGCGCACGTACAGAATTAGCCAAGACATCCCTCAAGGTCCAAATGTAACCGCCACTTGCCCGAGTACAAGAACGGAACGAGTCAGCGTAGCTCCGGTGTGTGCTTCGGCATGCATGGCAAGCTTGCAGCGTGGCCCCTGATAATGATTATCACAATTATCACAATACCCTCATACTCGTCCCCATCTAGTGATACTAAAGTATATCACAAAACCTTATTCAAAGAGACTCACAAGTTTTGTCCAGTCCCATGGAAAAAACGCGGCGCTCAAAGCCCTCCGAAGAACGCGACCCATCCGACAGATCCTAAACTAAACGTTCAACCCGATTATTGCGGGGCTTTCTCAGGGTTTGCTAGGGCGGGAATTCTTAGAATGGATGTTTCTGGGTGCTGCAGAAAGTAGACAGGGATTAGTACCGGGAACCTACATAGTTGCTACTCCACATTGAGGCCCCTATACTGTCCTACAATTAGACCCGAACACACTCCTGAACACATCCCTCGCGCCCCTAGACCCAACACTGAGGCAAACGCCGTTGGCAGGTCCCCGACTTTCCTTGTGCACAGGGACTCATTAAGTATGACAGTAGGATCTTCAACATGCTTCCTCTAGGTATGACAAGGAAGCAAACGGGAAAGCTCTGGGGATGATAGCTACTCTGACAAAGACAGGCGAATACTCATGTTGATAGTCGTTCGAATGTTCATCTGCGGAGAAAACTGATGACAATGACGGTATCTTTTTGGGGGCCCTTTATAGTATGGAGCCGAACATGTAGGGTTCTATATGTCTAGCGTCCCTGTTTTCCACTCTCCATGGATGGATGGGCGCCGCCCTGAAGCAGACTTGTAACCGTCAGGTTGACGGCCCTTGAGCTTCGGAAAAGGGCCATCTCCGATGGTCTGAAGTTCATGGATCTAAGGATTTCAGTCAAGAGACTAGGGTGTTTCGCTGTGATCGGTCCTTCTCTAGCAGCAGTTTAGCATGTGGGTCGGGGCGGGGGTGTAAAGACCACGCACATCAAAACTTCCTTGCACCTCCCCTAAATCACTGCTGGGCTGCCTCTGTCTGTCGGCCAAATCAGAAGAGGCTTACCTGACCAACACTTTAAGGTCAGAGTTCAGGGCTGCTCGATTTGGTCTCAATTGCTGAAACCTTGCTCCGCCAATTCGCAGCCAAGCTTCACCTTGAAGAATTTCAGTGCGCTCTGCATGTCGGCGGGTAGTATCACCTAAACTCTTAGCGTGCACGAGCTTCGGCTTCAGCACGTAGGCGGCTGAGTATATCTAAGGACTAAAGATGTCTGTACGTTGACTTGATTGTATACAAAAAGAGAAAGGAGATACGCTAATTGCTCAAGCAAGTGTATCGGTATGCGCAGATGTACCTTTGTTTGTTTGCATGCATGTATGCACGCAATGTGCATGTGGATGTACACGTGACTATACATGTACATTTACATGTGCGTGCGCATGCACATGTGCTTGCACATCGACCTGCATGTGGGTATGTGTAGATGCACATGCACATGTATACACACGTGCGCACGCACAGGTGTATGCATATGCCGATGGCAATGTATGCGCTATTTAGGTATGTATGTTAAGCTTGCGTGGCTCCGGTTTTAAGCTGAACAGCAGCACAAAGCAACTGCACTGCACAAAACACTAACTGCTATGCGATTTGGAGTCCTGAAAAACGCTGCCGAGCCATAATGTTCCCCAACTCGACCATGCGATGCATGGTAAATACCAATGGAAGCGCACTTGTGGTTTGTGTGCTTTCGTTGGGTCGGAACCAATAAGAACGAGCATTATCACAAGACTAACACAGGGAATCGATAAATCAAGAACAGAAACGTACAAAAGTGACAAGACTTGTCGTCACGACCTTCGCCGCTCTGCAAGCAACTAAACTGGCGATCACTGTGAGTAGCAATCACTAGGCGAGCTGCAGCAATAGCCAATAGCAGGAGCAGAAGCTGTAATCGCCATCGTCGTCCTACTTCTTGCACTGCTGCTACGGGTCTACCTGACAAGTTCTCATCTCAACCCAGCACTCGCCAAGAAGCCAAACCCAAGTTGCACCTGCACTCTGCACCCGAAGCTTTTGAAGCCTTGCACCGAGGACATCTCGCAAATGCAAGGCTGCAAGCAAACAGCTCGACACCGCTTAGATGCCCACCCTACACCCCCAAAGCTCTTAACACGAAAGTCTCTGCGAAGGACCACCGCCAAGCGCTCTCCTCGCAGGGCATTGGCCACCTGCCGGCCAAGGGGTCAGTTTTTGGAGCTTCGACCCAGGCCAAGGGTTTCGCAGGCTCGGCTTCGAAAGCAGAATATGAGCGCTTCCAGGCTGCGGGACGAAAGGTCAATGCAGACCTCGGAGTTGCTACCAGTCGAGACTTTCGATCCTCCGTTTGACTGCGCCTGCTTCTCTGAAGAACTCGAGCTTCTCTCCGTGCCGCGGGGTCTGATAACAAAGGCTTGCAAGATTAGTACAGTAATAGTCTGTTTTCCGCAGACCTTAAGAACCCCCGAACACTCTAATGATTGTTTCTGCTCTTTTGGTACTCAAGGAGTCATTTTGCCAGCCGCAAGACCTTGAAACTATTATAGAATTGCGTAACTCCGACCCTGACACGGCTGCAGAGTGCGGGCCTGCCACGAAGCGTTGTAGACCTGTTTCCGTCTTTTCTTAAGGTTTCCGCCCCGGTTTCGTGTCGCAACTACAACTTGTCACTTGGCTCAAGAAAATGCCCAACCCAAAATCTTGAATTCAGACGATGGCTGGGGCGGTGGCCAGCAAGCATGAGGAAAGCAGAGATTTACAGCTTAGGCACGAAAAGACTAAACCGATCCTTGTAGAAAACAAGTCCAGCGAGAAGTCTAGAGTTGTAACGTTATACATGGATTATTCGTGCTTGGGCTCCCTATGCTTTACCTGAAAAAAGGCACGGATCACATACAACTGGCTGGCTTCTACTTTAGTTATCCGGACATTATCCGTGATAGCTCAGGCTTCGGGCGTTTTGGGCTTCAAGCCTCGGTGGAATCGGCTTTTCTGAAAAAAGAAACTTGGGACGGAGTGCATGACGACAGAAAATGCGGGTGGTTGGCACTGGGATCCAGGAATTTTGAGGGTACGCTGGAAGCCCACACCCTGGGTCCAAAACTGGTCCTACAGCCCAAATCCGAGGAGAAAAGTCCACGTGTGAGTTTGGGGTTTGGAGCTTGTAATTGAAAGTCTTATACGCTATACCATCTCATACGATACTGGAATATATAACCCCATATAACACTATGTTGCATTTGGAAGTAGTTAGACCTTTCAGAGCCATCGCCGCCTCGCGGTAGTTCTCGGCCTCGGGATCCAACATGAGTGTCAGCTGCGGCAACGCCGCCGCAGCCTGTCAAGGGCTTCTCCCAGGGCCCATTACAGGGCCCTTACAGGGTTCCACCGACCTTCTATACTATAAAATGGATACAAGCAACACTAATCATAACACTAATGACAGCAGTAGAAGCAATGAGAGTCGCAACATGAAGAAGTAAAACAGTTCTGATAATAGTCATAGTGCTGCTATGCACGTTACTGTCTGGCAAAGGTCAGTGGGGTCCCGACTAGAACTTCTCAAACCCCAAACTCTGCTTGAACTGCCAGCCCTGGCCTGGATGTCCGGATACTCGTAGAAGCGCAGCTTCTTGGGGTCGTGCGCCTGCCTGGCGACTGCGGGGTGAAAGCTTTGGAGGACAGTTACGACTATTGCTACTCTCGGCAGCCCATCCGACATCTCCACCCCGCACCAAAGAATACGACAGCAACAACAAACGATGCCACATAAAAGACTCACAAAAGCAAAAGCGGCAGCGAAAACACAAATTATTCAGTTAGGCAGTTAGGTATCCTGATACCTGTCGGAATCGTCGCCGGCATAGCTTTAGCTGGAGGCAGCACCCCCACAACAGCACATCCCAACACGCCTCCCACTGCCCACCGGCCTCGAGAAACGCTTTGGAGGCTCGGCAGCGGACCAGCAAAGCCTCAGGTCTTGGTCTTTAGGATTTAGTGTATCCACGTGGGACTGAAGGCGTGGAGTCCTACGGTTAGTAGCTTGATGGCTCAAGGTCTTCTGGCTGGCTGGTCCGAGTGCTTGGAACTGGGGCAGTTTGTTTTGAGATGAATCATGCACATTGCTAGTTGACAAATTCATCTTCAGAGTTGCACTAAGCAAGCTACGAATACACGTTCCAAGCCCCAACCACGTTTTGTTGCAGGACTGAAGGTTCAGCTTTGGGGCTTCAGGGTTTAGGCTTTCTAGCTCTAAAGCTCCTTGGCGTGAAGATCAGACAGGTTGCGGAGCGCGGCATGTGCAAATCGGCTCACACGCGCCAACATCTACCGAAAGCAACACCCCACCCACCGATCCGGCCAAGAAGCTGCAACGCCAGGAGGAAAGCGGCATGGCTTGACATGAGGCATCCAGGCGTTGTTTTTACTGTCAGGCTCCTCAAACACTGGTGCTCAAGGCGCACGCCAGCCTAGCCGAAGACATTAGACATCTGTCGTCTTATGTGCTACATTGTGCTACCATGGCAGGGTTATTCAGGATTCAGGTAGGAGAGGCCTTAGAGCTCGGACCGTGGTTCGTGTTGGGCAACGAAGACGACTCCGGGCCAGCACGATCAGCATCCGCGCCAAAGTCGTTCGCTGTCTTGATGCACTTCAAACACGCAATAATTGTGAGAGTGTACTGTGAGGGACCTGCACTTATCCAGGGCTCCAGGAGCAGACGACACCACTATGGGCTGCGGCTGGTATTGATGACTTCGGCTTGTGAAATCGTGCTTGTGCTTTAGTTTAATTTCGAGCTCAGCACTTTGATACTTGTAAAATATCCCAGCAAGTGCACTGTCACACCCTGGCGGCTCTGAGATACATTCAACCAGATACCGGGTGCCAGGAAGCTGCTCAAAGGGGCGATCTCGGCTTGCGGTAGGCGACGAAAACGGTGTAGCAATCATAAGTTCCCCCTGCCGTGTTGGCATTGTTGGCCCTGGAATGAAGTGACGAACATGACCTAAGACTCGGCACATGTGGCAGCTCCGAGAGACCAAGATTCCGACGTATGTCATAGATACCAACTAGCGACTATCGCTTGCACGTTTTCGGCTTCGTTCCGGGCTGCTGTAACTTACAATTTCGATTTTCACACGGGCCCCACGCTGAAATACCTACGAATCCTGCCGCACACACCTTTTGCTTTCGAACCGGCTCCTCCCAAGAGGGCGGCACAGCTTTCGAAACCGAGGACCGAGGCAAAGGCTGCGAGTGTGCAAATTGGGTTTGGGGCTTACGTTGGCAGGTTCGTTTCTTTTTGAATGCCTTTTTCCGTCTGACGGAGCATCCCTCAGCCAACGTTAGGGTTTAGGCTATTGAAGTTGAGGTTTTCGGTGGGGATTAGGGCTTGGGGCTCGAGCCACTAGAGGCGTGGCAAGAGAAGTTTGGCTGTCGGAGGCTTTCTGATTTCTTGATGTTTAAGGGTCCCAGGAAAGTACTCCTTACTTTGAGGATCCTACGGGTCCTCTGAACCCTACCACGGCATGATCTTATTGTTCAAAGGTCATTTATCAGGGACAACTGGCTTCATCAATACACTCCACTCTGGCAAATCGCATAAACCCACCAATCAGGAACCCCTAAACCCCTAGGTACCCAATGTGCGCTGACTACCGCTCGGCTTCGGCACCAGGCCGAGTCTTCAGCCTCCTATAAGGACCCTGCAGAGCAGGACCCTGTGGCGCAAGGACCTCCAAGAAGGTACCTTTAGGGTTCCTGAGTTTCAAAAGTACAAACTCTGTCATCGCAACCCTGGAAAGCTCTCGGATGCTCGGCCCTGGGACAGAATCTTACCTGCTCGGCGGCGCTGAGCTCTGAACTTGGGTTTTTGGGGGGATATCTTATAACACAAGCATAATTAGGGACTAGACTAAAACGGTGATAAATTTCCGCCGGTTTCAGGCTGTGGGTTCTTTGCATCTCGGGTACTTGGCAAACTTGGGGTGGGCCTTTGGCCCTTGAAGTTAAGAATATGAAACCCAAAGGCAAGTCTACGAGGTTCACTGCAAGAATTGTAGAATGCTACCCTCAAGCCCAAGTGCATAGCTAGCTGACCCGACGAGATGAAATCTAATCCTCTCTAGTAAACCCAAAATGTTGGAAACCGGACTAAGGACAATTAGTGCTGGGATTCCCTGTACAGTACTCTTAAGGACGGAGGCTATTGGGTTCCCAGCCTTGGGCTTCTACTGTAAACCCCCCGGAAGGACCACAATCAAGTCCAAAAAACCGTAAGCCCCTGAACTCTTGCGGGGGGTAAGCTTTGACATGGCCCCCTTCCAAGGCAGAGCACAGCGCCCAATTCTCGACATTGAAGAAGGGGATCTGCTTCGCGACCACTTCTCCACGCTGGGGACACCGCTAAGCCGCTACGCTGGTGGAGAAGGTGACGGTTGGGATCTGGTGGGTTAAGGCTTAGGTTCGGGGGTTTGCCAGTTTTGGGTTTGCAACGGGCTCAGAGCGTTCTTTGGCTGCTTCTGGCTGAAAGCGCGGGAGCTGCTTACAGCCTAGTCAAGTGCTTCAGGTTTCGCCCACTCCTTTCGACCGGGGAAGGTGGCGGAAACCCACGAAGTGCAAGCAGTGTGTCACTGCATGAGTGAAAAACTCAAAGCCGAAAGCAAAGAAGCCTCCCGAGTAACAAGAAGAACCACCGAAAATCTGACTCCCATGCTAGACTCTCAAGGATCAGGGTCGGTGCTTGTTAGCCTACCTTCACATGAACATGGAGGCTCCTTGTCAAGTATCCACATCCCTCAAAGATCTACGTCTAATTTGCATCTGGGCTGTCTTCCGCCCAGCAACGCTCTTTGCAAGGCCCTCTCGGCTTCCGGGAACCAGGCGCGTTAGGGTTGAGGACTCAGGGTCTCGGGCTTGATTGGAGTTACGGGTTTAGGGCTTAGGGCTTCATTGGGCCGCAACTTGAACCAAACCTTGGGAGAGATACCTTTTTCAGGGATACTTTTACCAAGGATCCTGTGAAAGTCAGTCAAGTCAATAATTCTACCTGGGCTCTCTAGTCGTTGTTGAGGCTCCCATAGTGGCCTCAGCCCTTGCGGGGAAAGGTCCCATCTTTGGCGGCTTAATAATCACTGGGTGGGACATCGTGAAATTCACACAGCGTGACAGCTCGCCTACGTTGTGCTGCTATCGCAACTTCGAGACAAGGGCTTCAAGATGTATGTGGAGTGCGTATACCATTGAGCCGCATGCAGTGAACCGAACCCACAATATGAGCCGCGGCCCGATGAGCCACTTCTCCAAATCTACGCATTCTGCAGGGGATACCAAACAGAAGTTCGTGTTTGCCCGGAAGTTCGTGTCACATTAACTGCGTGAAACCCGAAGGCAAAACATTCCATGTCGAGGACATTTCTAAATCGCACGAAGGTCCACTTTGCCTTCGTCACTCCACCTCGGCAAAGTTCAAACGATTGCTCATCGCGAAGTAACACCGCCAAGTTGGGATATGTGTGCCCCGTTCGTGAGGATTGGATAATTCTAGTGCCCTGAACTCCTTTCACCTCGGAATTGGCGTTGCCGAATAAGCTCGAGAATGGTTGAAGATTGCTGCCGCACTGCGCGCATCACGGCAGAGTCTCTATAGATGTACTTCGACGAGACTTCTTCCCTAACTTCACACCCAAGACCACCCGCAGAGTAAGAGCCGTCGTGGAGAGCAGGCGTGATATTAAATAAGAGGAACAATGACAACAACACAACCATGAGAGTAGAAATAATAAATGAGAATAAGATTGATGCTAACACCCCGACGCAAGCGGAATGCCCCACCAGCAGACTCTTCGGGTTTGAACGGGTTTAGGGTTTGACACATGACAAGGGCTGCGGCAATGTCGATCTTTGGTGCCTGTCCAGGAGCAAAGTGCACGCAATAGCACGCAAGATCGGACCACAGGGATTTCGAGTTCAGAACTTGGAAACGAACAGTGCAGTAGGAATCTCCAGTCATGATGAGAAAAGCGGAGTATTCTGGGGGCTCCAAGCTCAACGTTGCCATGTATCCCCAAGCACTGTTAAGGAACTCTGGGCTGCTGTGCAAATCCCATCTTGCATCTATCACCTCATATTCCGCTGATCCTGAACATGGCCTGATTTGCCGAGACCCGAAAGAGCGCAGATCACTCCCTACATGAGATATCCTCGCCCTGCATCACAAAGAAGCCTTTCAAATCTATGGTGTGCTTTGTACCAAAAATTATAACACCTCATACATTCAAAAAACCATCACGCGAGCGTATCGCGCCCCTGCGGAACCTGCTGAACATGGGACCCAGTTCAGTTCAAACAGTCCTCAACTCAAACCTCAAGCCCTCAAGTAGGACTTACACCTTCTTGGAGCTTGAAGTCTGTTAGCCCCTGAACTTTTTTTGCTACGGTATACCCCAACAAACCTAAACCCTAAATATCTTCTAAACACCCGAGCTCCTCCGTCGGTGGAGCGGTGCCCAGGTTCAGGTCCTTCGCAAAGCCCGAGAGGTCCACCTGCGTTTGAAGGTTGTAAGGGCCTCCACAAAGCCTCTGTTCAAAGCTTTACAGGGGTTTGTGCAAGGTTAGTACTGGACGGTTTAAGCCTTTTAATTTGGGATTGCAGGCGTAGGGGGTGGTTGGAGTTTAGGGTTTCAGGGCTTGGACTAGATCTTGGGCTTTGGGCTCTCATGGACTCATGTTTCCCATCGTCACGACAAAGAACCAAGCTTAGTATTTCAGGGCAAATGATGTGCAACAACAGGGAAGGCGAAGGTCGGCATAAAAGCAATCGTTCACGATATGGACATGTCAATATTCAAAACAACAGCAGCAGCAACAACAACGACGACAACAAGCAAACGCAACCACTACCACTGCCACTAACACGACGACGACCACTTCTGACCATGAACTACTGACTACGGACTACTAACTATCA